TTGACGGCACAGGAACTTTACGCAGCACTTACAATTATGACGCGTACCTGACAACAGGTTCTCGGACCAGTGACTTCAAGTTTGTGACATCTTACAATGACAGCACTCTGCCTGCGGACCAGACTCTGAGGAAAAGTCCATCAGACTTTGCTGAGGCATTTGGAGAACTGGAAGAGTCTCCAGAGGTATGAATAGAAAAATAATAGAGAAATAGAAAAAAATTCTTAAGTCAAACAAAAACACTCAGTTCTATATATTTTTTTCTGTCAGTGGTTTGAATTCAGTTTTTTCAGTGTGTGATTGTCATGTGATGTTTGTCTTTCCATTTGTTTGTCTAAAGCTTGTTTAATGAATTGCAATCCTTCCTAAGAAGCTGTTGTTGTTTATTTTAAAAAATGATTGATGGTCATAGCTTTGTTTTTTTGTTTTGAGTGTCTGATTTTAGGCTCAGTTAAAATCTTGTTTACCTTCAGTTGCTGTATGAAGCATGTTGGTTTTATTTTGTTGACATTACTGCATGTTGCTGTGGCTGATTGCTCACCTGAAGACATTGTGTTATTGTTGCTTTGTTTGGAAGCACGTTTTTTGTTAATCTAACGTTGTGACATAGTGACATTGATTTTAAAAGTGATTGTTTTTGTATTGCCATCAGACATTTTTCCATATAAAACATTATATCACAAGTGTAAAAATTCCGGTGTATGTCCACTGCTTCACTCAAATTCATGTTTTAACCTGTTCAGCCCTGACCTAGTTCTCAGACCTCTGCTCGAAAATGACATACCCATAACAACAGTTCATCTCTGCAACCACAAGATCTATTTGAATAATTCTTGTGTCATAATGAAAGGAGCACTTGTAAAATTTGTTCAGATGTGTAAATATCAGTATATTTATGTTACTGGTTAAGAGTAACTGAAGATGAGACTCTGCATTTTGTGTTCTGACATAAATGACACCATCTTCTTCGACAACAGAACCGCTCAACTGGATTTGACCGAAACAGAAATGAAAAATTTTCAGGTTCGCCTAAAAAAAAAAAAAAAAAAAAAAGCACTTTCAGGACAATTATCTATTTGGAAAGATCCAGCTGCAGCTCTCATCCTCTCCCAAATCGTAGCACAATATGTGAACATTCTCTCTGCAAAGATTGACTCTGATAAAGTGAAGCAGAGCAAAATTAGAGACTTTTTAGTATGGACAGTTCAGGCGAGGTCACACTTTGGCACACTTGTGACCATCTGAATTTTCTTATGTGCAAACTATATATTTCACTTGTGTATCACTAATGGTGTTCAATACATCTAAACACAGCAGTTTTTTTTGTTTTTATTTTTTTGAGAATTCAACCAGACCGCTATATGTGTTACATGTCCTGTGCTAATGCTGATCAAACTGCTGTGAAGCTCCTGTGGTGACACAAGGCTGTATCTCCGTAATGGATTGGTCGATTTCAGTGATTGACACCTCATTCGAGTCCTTAGAGCCAATAGAATATAGCGATAGCCACAAAAATAAGATTGACAGCACTTTTAGGCAATCAGAATCAGCAGAACGCCACCTTGAAGACGCTTTGCTGAGCGAGTGTTCACACCATGGCTCCCTTAGGCTAACGAAGCCTCCAACAAATGCCCGGAATGATTTCAGTATAACACAGTAAGTCATACTAACTGATTCCGGTGTGGATTTACCGATAAAATAAAAACTTTTCACGGCAAAAGAGAAATTTTACAACTGTAGATTGATGAAGCGATTTCGGTTTTTGCTGTTCTTTTGGGTTATTTCTAGCTGACACTTTGATTTTAGAGAGCTTTGATGGATATGTTTGGAATCTGTGGACTGTCTGCTTTCGTTTGAGGGTTTGTTTGTGCGTTTTACGTAAAGTACCAAAGCACTCGAGCCAGAAATGTGGTGAGTGGGTTGACTAGGTGGCGCTATATTGATTTCCATATTTGATAATTCATTTCGTTGGTGTTTGAGTTGTGTTTGGGTCATGTAAAAATGGCATATAGATTCTTGTAGCCCAGGTTCTGCTGTTTAATTTGATGTGCAACATCACTGTATTCTTTCATGATGAGTGTATTGTTTCACACAATTTCTTTGTGTGAAACCCGAGAGGCCCCCAAATAACGTCTGTGTTTATCAGCTGTAGGTTGCAATGCCACTGAGTTTCAGTGATGTGTATTGAGAGCTTGTGCATGTGCCAGCTACATTTTGTAAGTTTCTCTCAGTGCTCAAGTATATTTTCCACTGTGTTGCAGACATATGATAGCAGCTATGCCTATGGTTGCTATCATACCTCAATTTAAGTTGGAAAATTTTGTGCTATAATTTTTTATTTTTTTTTAGCCAATCTCTCTCTCTGTCTCTCTCTCTCTCTCTCTGTCTCTCTCTCTCTCTCTCTCTCTCTCTCTCTCTCT